CATGGAGGCGTGTGCTTGTAGTCCCAGCTACTCGGGAGGCTGAGGCAGGAGAAACACTTGAACCCGGGAAGCGAAGGTTGCAGTGAGCCAAGATCGTGCCACTGCACTCCAGCCTGGTGACAGAGTGAGACTCCGTCTTTAAAAAAAAAAGAAAAAGAAAAAGAAAAAGAGGCACGCACCTCAAGCTGCTGCCCTCTCTCAGTCCCATTATTAAGCAGAGCACAGAGGTGTGAGCCCGCGCCCAGGTTCCTAAACAGAAGGTGCTCAGGAAAGATGGAAGATGCAAGAAGGTAAACTCTAATGTCATGATTGTAAATGATGTGGATGGTGAGAGAGATCTGCTGTCAAGGGTGAGACGATGGAAGATGGCAGTCAGGGAAGGAGAGTGGGACGGGAAGGGGTGGCCCGCTAAGAATCCATTCAGGACACTTACATTCCCAGAGGTGGAGCCCTAAGGACATGCTCAGGGGAACAAAAAGGGTGTTTTCCCTGCTGTTCCAGCAAGAGAAAGATTAAGAAAGGGTGAAGTCGGCCAGGCACAGTGGCTCACGCCTGTAATCCCAGCACTTTGGGAGGCCGAGGCGGGCAGATCACCTGAGGTCAGGAGTTCGAGACCAGTCTGGCCAACACAGCAAAACCCCGTTTGTACTAAAAATACAAAAAGTAGCCAGGTGTAGTGGCACATGCCTGTAATTGCAGCCACTTGGGAGGCTGAAGCAGGAGAACTGCTTGTACCCGGGAGGCGGAGGTTGCAGTGAGCCAAGATTGCACCACTGCATTGTAGCCTGGGTGACAGAGCGTGACTCCATCTAAAAAATTTTTTTAAAAAGAAAGAGCTAAGTCTCTTTCCTGAGGAGGGTGTGTACAGGGAGGAGGGGTCTCCTGGGCTCCTGTCCGCAGCTCAGCGTTCACTCTCAGAAGGAAGGTTCGCTCTCAGAAGGGTCAGCCTGGCACACTGACCTGGAGAGGGTAAGTGGACCCCAGGCAGAGGTAGGGACAGCACGGACAGGCTGCCTCAACACACTCTCACCAGCTGGCTGCGCGGAAAGGTCCCAAGAGCACTTGACAAAGAGCCCTGCACTCCTCATCAGCAATCGTGGGAGACATGGAGATGGGAGCAACACCCAAGGACACAAAATGGGCAACGGTCCCAGCTTTTAAAGAAGAAGGCAGTGAATTCCAGAGTAGAGAAGGGCAGCGTCATTGCTGGTCATGGTTAAGTAAAACATGGACTCCCTGAGGAATGCTGGGAGAGCCTGGGAAGGGGCTCTGCACACTCGCCCAGGCAGTGTCGGACAGAGGGGTGCACCAGGAAGAAAGGGGGCCTGGCAGTGAGTGAGCTACTGGACCGGTAGGCCTGGGATGTGTCACAGCTGAGACCTCCAGGCCCTTGTGTCTCTCATGATCCCCCAGGGCCCTGGGGGCTACAGGGCGGCACTGACAGATCCACAGCTCGAGGGCCGGCACAGTCCAACAGGGCGGAGTGGCTCCAATGCGAACCTGTCCTGTTGGATGTTTTAATCAACCCAGGATGAGGACAGAGACACAGTACTGGCAGCACGATCTCATTTAGCAAAAGCTGTGCCAGGATTAGGAGCCAAAAAAGAGGTCTGAACAGATGGTAATGACAGCTCAAATCTGACAAGATGCAAAGTCTTAAATGGAGAGACAAAAGGACATGGCTTAGTACGAGGATCTTAAAATTTACTGTTCAAACTTTTTGGAGAAAATGGAAGGGCAGTATCAATATTAACAGCCATGACGCCAAAATCTTAGGTGCAAGCCGGGAGGGTCCAGGCAGCCTGAGCTGTACAGGTCCCCCTCCTGGCAGTGAGGATGAGAAAGGAGTTCTGAGGACTGTGTGTTCAGTATGTCTTGGGGCAGAAGTCTGTCCCCAGATCTGTGAAATCTTAGGCTGCCTTAGGAAACTCAGAATAGGGGACTTACCCAGGGAGTGTGGCTAAGAAGGGGAGGTGCCAGGATTGGCACTCAGGTCTGATACGCAGCACAGCATTCATTCGGCGACCCTGAAACCACTCCAGCTCAGCTGTTCATTGCCTTCCAGAAGGAAACCAGCAATGCCTGCTCTATTATGCCCCAAATTCCCATCTGACAGATGAGCCAAGAAACCCAGTACCTCATCTGCTTCTCCTCCACTCCACTGGTGTCTACCGAGCCCTGAGTCTTGGAAGAGTCGAGGACGTGGCTTTTCCCACTCCTCGTGGAGAGGTGGTTTGCAGGCTTGCCTCCAAGTTACCTCTCCTCTAAGCCCACATGGTAGGGCAAGGCAGGGTCACCCAGGTTGAAAGAGCGTTCTGGCACGAGATCTCACCCAAGGGCTTTGCCAAGCAAGAGTGACTTTGAATCAGCTTTCCTCAAACCTCAGGTATTTCTACACCACACACAACCTTTGCTATATCCTTGAATTACATATACTGTGGTTCATATAACATACACAGATGTGCCTTGACTTACAATGGGGTTACGTTCTGATAAAGCCATCGTTAAGTTGAAAATATCCTAAGTTCAAAATGTACTAATACCCCCATTGACCCATCATAAAGCTGAAAAATTGTAAGTCACACCATCATAAGCCTGGAAACGGACTGTATTTTTAAAGCAATTTGCCTTTTTTTTTTTTAAACTTTAAGAAAAAAATTTGCTAAGGAAACTTCTGATCGCCACCATGAATAAACAACGAGGACCACTGGCTCCAACAGAAAAGCACACACGATGAAAACAAAGCTATGTAGTACATTTGAACTGTGCCACAAATGAAGAGGCTGAGTCTGTGGCCCGCTCCCTCTTTGCTACAAAGATTTACTAGACAGGGGTTAAAGATCATCGAACATCAAACTGCAACAAGTCAGAAGGCTTGGAAGAGAACTGCAGGGAGACAAACTTTTCCCACTGTGTGACGCAGAAGGATTGATACTGCCTCTCTGCCACCTGAGATCCTCCCATGTATCATGGTGTTGGGTGGACTGCAGCTTTAGGAAGCCAACATCAGACTAGTATGGTGCCTGGTCCTTCACAGTGGCTGAAGGAGGAGGCTGAAGAATGAGGCTTAAGTTCCCGTTGGTGAGATGGGAATATGAAATAGCATGCATATACTACCAGTGTTGTGGTGAGAAAAAGAAAAGAAAAAAATGGAAAGTACCCAGCAATGTGCCTGGTGCTTAATATCTCTATTTGCAGCCTGGAGAAGAGAGCTGTGGTCACTTGAAATATAAAGGTTATCCTTATCCATTTAACTGGCTTACTCCAGTGCCTAAGATGCGTACATGTATGAGTTTGTATTTTTTTTCCCTTTCTCTATTTGCTAAAAATGGAAGCTTCTTGGCCCCAGAATGGAGTTGGTTTCAACTAAAAGCTGTAGGCTGACAACCATCCCCTTCCTCCCAGCTGAGTTCAGCCCCTCTTCAATTGGGCAAAAATAAAACGGGGACAATTTAGACTTTAAAGACCATCTCCATAAACAAAACAAACCCACTCCACAATTTGTCTAGGGCATTCCTCCCTCCAAAGCCTCCTTATTTAATTTCTGGGGAATTTTAAATAGAGGGCTTGCAAAAATCCAGTACCGCCTGACGTCAGCAGCTCTCTGACAACGTGGATTCTTCTGCTTGGTGTGGGGAGTAGCCACCACGAATGCCGATGCTTTTCCAGGCTCCTTTCCCAGTTGGAATTTGGGAGCCACTGGTGTCACCCTAGGAGACAAGAGACAGAGGGCACCCTAGGTGCCCAAAAGACAGAGTCCCACTTGGGGTCGTTTAACTCTGCATTCCCCAAGCCCTCTGGCCAGGTGAACCAATGAACCTGAGTAATGCCTACACTAGTGTCATCTTAGTGTGTTTATTTAAATTGCCTTTATTTTTAAAAACTTAAACATGTATTTCAAAAAGACATTTTCCTATGCTACAATGGATGGAAAACCAGCATTCCTAGGTATAGATGGGAGATTCTGGAAAAACACATACAATGAAACAATGCCATGAAGTTCAACAAGAGATCAAGGCAAGTTCTAGCAACACTCTAAGCCTGGGTCAGATTTACTCTTGGTCAAACAAACAAATGACATCAGCCAGCGTTTGACAGATGTTAACAGCACAGGAGCCCCAGATGGAGATTTCCCCTTTGACCCAATGTGTAGTGAAAGAGAACTGAAAGGAAAGAACCTTCTCGTGACAGGATGCAATGCCACTCAATTGTGTCCACCCAGCACGTGTTTATATGACCTGCTCTCTGGGAACCACCGATCTTCTTCAGGTGAAGCCTTGGATAAAGAATCCACAGACCAGGCCAGGTGCGGTGGCTCACGCCTGCAATCCCAGCACTTTGGGAGGCCCAGGTGCGTGGATCACAAGGTCAGGAGATCGAGACCATCCTGGCTAACATGGAGAAACCCCGTCTCTACTAAAAAATACAAAAAAAATTAGCTAGGCATGGTGGCGGGCACCTGTAGTCCCAGCTACCTGGGAGGCTGAAGTAGGAGAATGGCGTGAACCTGGGATGCAGAGCTTGCAGTGGGCTGAGATCGTGCCACTGCACTCCAGCCTGGGCGACAGAGTGAGGCTCCGTCTCAAAAAAAAAAAAAAAGAATCTGCAGACCCTTGGTTCAAATCCAAGCCTGGCCACAAGCAAGCTCTGAGGTCTCAACTGTTTCCTCTGAAAAATGGAAACAAAGCCACCTGCCCTGCTTACCCCTAGAGTTACTCTGAGATAATAGATGAGAAAAGTGCTTTGAAAAGGATAGGCCAGGTGTGGTGGCTCACACCTGTAATCCCGGCACTTTGGGAGGCCAAGGCGGGCGAATCGTTTGAGTCCAGGTGTTCAAGACCAGCCTGGAAAACATGGTGAAACCTTGTCTCTACTAAAAATGTATTTTAAAAAATTTAGCTGAGCATAGTGGTGCACACCTGTAGTCCCAGCTGCTAGGGGGCTGAGGTGGGAGGATCACTTGAGCCCAGGAGGTCATAGCTGCAGTGAGCCGTGATTGTGCCACTGCACTCTATCCTGGGCGACAGAGCGAGACTAAGTCTCAAAAAAAAAAAGTCTCCAGGCTATAGGCTGGTGGGGGCAGAGGGGTTACTATTCCAAGCAATGTCAGAAACCCAATGGACTCCTAACCATCCCCTAATAGAACTTACTGCCTAAACTGGATGGTAGCCCATCCCTGTCCATCAGAGAAAAGGAAAGGAAGGTGAATATGCCACTTGACAATTTTCTTTCACAGTTGGCCTTTCCCAATAGCCACATGGGTTTCAAATATTATGCTCATGTTACAGATATGGAAACTGAGGAGCAGAATGGCCACATGCTGGCCACAGAGTGGCTATTCAGTGGCAGATTTGAAGCCTTTCTTGGGGCCTGGGGCAAGTGCCCTCTATCTTCCTTTTTGACTGCACATGCAGCAGGGTTCAGAAGCCCCCAAATGTGTTGATATCTTTGATTCATTGCTGTATCCAGGTGCCATCCTACGAAGCTACCAACTTTGTGATGCTCCTCTGACTCCCCTGCCAGCCAGCGTTCTGCTCTCCTAACTCACGCTCCCTCATCACCTTGACCTTAGGTTTGGATTGGCCAGTCCCCCAGCGAGATCAAGAGCTCTCTGAGGACATAGGCTGAGTCTTGCTCATCTTGGCATCCTGTCAAGCTCAGGCTCTCTGCAGCCCAGCTCCTGGGGTCAATGCGGGATCAGCACCGGGCATCTTCCCTCCCGCTGTCTTCCGGCCGGCCTCCGCAACTTCTGCTCTGCAAGAATCCTGCGCGGTGACTCAGCCCCTGGGCAATGTTCCTTCCTCCAGTTCCCCACTTTGGGGAAATGCCTTTCACCCACAGCAAGCACCTCTAGCTTACCCAGGAGGATCTGCCTTCACGGACCCAAGGCACAGAAGTTTTTGTTGCTTGTTGCATAATTTGCCCAGGATCATCCAATGAGCGAATCCTTCCAGTCCTGAGAGCTCATGTAGTCTGCTTGGATACCTGACCTGGCCATTTCCATCTGGGCCTCTCCCTTTACAGGAATGGAAGATCAAAGCTCAGGGAGGTCCCACAGGCTAATCACCAGGAACAGGCCCACATTCCTGGAGGAATGCAGCCCACTGCAAGCTCTTCATCCTGTGTTCACGCCATTCTCCTACCTTAGCCTCCCGAGTAGCTAGGACTACTACACTAGCAGCACCTCCCAAGCCCATTCAAGGCAGCCCCCCAGGTCGTTTGCAGGCCTCTACTGGGAATCTTGGTGGCACTGCCTCTCATCCAGGGACCACAAACAAAGTCCTCCTAGGTGCAACTCAGGGCACTGGAATGGGCAGCCCCAGAGACCTGTTCTCCCCAACTCCCAGAGGACAGTGGGGAGACAGCTATACCAAAAATAGTTCCCCAACTAGGGCACAAGCCTCCAGTGGATTCACCAAGAGGCAGCAGAGTGTACAGGGGATGTGGATGACCTGAACCCTCTGGCCCTTGGCTTTCTTATCTGTAAAATAGGCATCACGATACCCATACTTTACAGGGCAGTGGTGATCATTATAAGAAAAAAGGTGTTTCGTTCCCTGCCTGACATATAGGAGGTGCTACAATAACCTCTTTCTTGCCCTTCTCATCCGTTTCATCGGTTTCTGATATTAAGTCTCCAGAAAGCAGCAAATGGGTCTAACTTGAGCCCTAAATCCCCTTGTTCTGGGATAGCCATCCTGGGGCCTCAGCTAGGTTTGTGGTGACCTAGGATTAGGTTCTCTCACTGAGCGCCTTCCTGCCCCATTCCCTTCCTGTTTCTTTTACCTCTGGGAACCATCTTGTCTTCCTGGTTCCCAAGAATTGGTCTAGTACAGATCCCACCCCAATCCAAGGAGAAAAGGCCACACTAAAACCAGATACTCCGCTAGTCCAGATACCCCCCAAGACTGGCCCAGACCAGGTTTCTCATTCTAGAGATGACTGGTCAGGCCGTGGTGACTGACACCTATGAGTACCGGTGAGTGATACAGCTCTTCCCACACTGACCTGTCAATCTCTGGTGCCTCCCACCCCCAGCACCCACAGGGGAAGGGCCTGCAGAGAGTCAACCACCTTGTCCCACAACCAACCAGCAACCATGTCCCCTCAGCTGGGTCAGAGTAGGCAATTATCTGCAACCCCTGTAGACTGTGCTCCATAGAGATGGGGATCACGTCTTTCCTGTTCACCTCTGTGCATCAGTACCTGGCACACAGCAGGAGATAAAGGCTGGGAAATGAGTGAATTGCATGAACAAACGTCTGATTTCTAGCTCCTGACTATACACTTGCTTGGTTGCTGGGTTCTGGTTTTCTCCACTCTGAATAAGGCCCAGCCTTTGATCAATATCCTACCACCGTTTAACAGGAAGATCCCACTACCTGAGCGCAGAGAGATGGGTAGAAAGCTGGAGGAAGTCACTGACCTGGCCTGCCTGCCACACCCCCATCTCCCAGCCTCCATGGGGTCCTCCAACCACCTCTGGGGGGGCCCTTGCAGGGAGGCCTCTATGGGGAGGTCTAGACGGAGTCAGATAATATAGGAGTCAGTGGGGCATGGAGGTAGGGGACGGCTGTGAGTATTCTGCCCCTTTAAATATACCCTGGCTGTGGCAGGCCAGGATACCCCCGCTGAGTCCCAGCTGTCAGCCATGAGGAGCCACAGCTTCGCTCCCCAGGAAGTGGGCAATATTGCAATATCATGGCATCAGCTCCAGCTCTCCAGCTCTGGCATGGCCCTTAGATTGGATTTGGATGTCTCCATCTCTCAAATCTCACTGTCCTGTCTCTGGGTCAGGGTTCCTGCCTAACCTGGCTATGATTCCACCAGCCCCTTACCCTGGAACCACTTCTAGAATGGATTTTCTCCTTCAAGGGCCTTGAGGTGGTAGGATGATCTCTTGGGGGTGGAGAGACCAGGGTGTGGAGGGCAGGTCAGGCCCCTGAGGTCCAAATCCTCCTCTCACCTGGCACATGAGCACCAACAAGATGTTCTAGCTCCACTGAATGCAGAGGCCTTTTAAATCCAAGGAGGCAAGTTTGTGTCTGGTTGTGCAGTGAGGCCTGGGACATGGAGCCTCACTGGTGCTTGCACTTGGTGCTTGGAAACAGAAGAATAGGGTTAAATACTCCCAAGGGAGCCAGCAAGACAGGAACCCTGGATGCTCATTCTCCCCATGCAAAGCCCAGATGCTGAAGTAACTGTCCTTTCTCTCCTACAAGGAGCGGCCAGTTAAAATCCCACCCTGTGGGCAGTAAGGTTCAGGCCACCCCGGTTCTGCTCCAGTTATCAGCGCCGGGGAAAGCACGCCCCGCATAATGCCAGTGCTCCACAGCAGCGTTGTTCATGCCCAAGCAGGAAAGAGTCAGTCAGATGCTTGCCCAGGAGGCGCTGGTTAAGGCAGGGGGAGGGGAGGAGAAGAGGGTGCCCCAGGGGCGGGTTGGAGCCCCGAGGGATGAGAATCTCCTGTTCTGTTATCTTCAGGAGCTGGTTAAGGTCTGCTCCAATGTGCTGAACCATCTCTTCGCCATCCCCGCCCAACTTCCTTCCCACCCACATATCCATGCAGGAAAGATGCATGGCAAGCACTCAGAGAATGCCAGGACACGGGCTGGTGGGCACGACCCAGGTGAGGCAGTGAGAAGGTCCCAGGTAGACAAGAAAGAGTCTGGGAAAACAGGATTCCCCAGTGCACACAAGGAGAAATGGGGCAGTAAAAGGGTCAGGCAAATCCCTACCCCGATACCAGTGGGGGTCAGGGGAGCCCTCCAATGTTTGGCTTTTGAGACCCCTGCACCAAGCCTCTCTTTAAGCGCCAGAGCTATTGCTTTCATGGATCTTGTTTAACTTGAGAAGGACGGGGGAGGGGGCCAAATAAAACTGCATTCTTCCCCATCAAAGCCAAGAGTCTAAAGTAATACTTCTGGTTGTAACTGATCCTGGCCTGTTTGTGATTACGGGCCCTTTGCTTGCTTTCTGGCAGGGCGGCCCTGGAACCCCGCAGCCCAGCCGACAGGGAGAGAGACACCCTCGTTCACTTGGATAATCTTGTCCTCATCTGACATAACCAAAAACGTCCATCAGCCTCTCTGCTTTCAGCAGTTCTCCAGGGCAACTCCTCAAAACATTACTTTATTTTAAAAAGGAGGGGAAGCCACCCCAAACTCCTATCATGAAATTCCATGACATTCATCATATTCTTTCTGTTCCCGGCACTGTCCTAAAAACCACGAAAAGCACCAGCTGGCCCACTGGCTATTGCACATTACAAGATCAGATCATCTTTTGCTTCTGCCCTACCTCCTACCCTTATGTTAGGGGAGAAAACACAGATCCCCCTCGCACGCACATGCACACCCTTTCGCTGCCATAGTACAGAAGTGGCTCAGGGAAGCTCGAGACTATTTCTCAGCTGTTCCTTCTCCAGAAATTTAATCTGTGATATATTTGGCTTCACAAAGCCCATTCCAAAGGTGTTCAGGAGTCCACGATCCCTGTGATCATCATTGCAAACCCAAGGATGTTTGTAGCCAGTGACCCATTTGGCTGCGGGGGAGAGCTGGCTGAAGGCTTGCCAACATGGTCAAATTCCCCTTGCCTGCTCCCTCTGAGCTGAAACTGGCTTGTTTTCAGGTCCCTGGGGGTAAGAGGGAATCTTAGGAGCTCCAGAACAACAGAGATAAAGTTGGCTTCTTGCCCAGCTTGGTAACAGCACAATGGTCAGGGGAATGGGGTGGCTTGGTGTCTGGAAAGCAACCATGGCCGCTGTCTCCACTCCTAATCACCCTTCCATGCTGTGGATGAGCAAAGCTGTGCTCAGAGAGGTGGAGTGGCTTGCCTGAGGTCACTTCGTTGTTTGGTAGCTGAGCTTAGAGTCTGGGTTGACCAAGCTCCTCTTAGGCAAAGCCTGGCCTTCCTCCCACGATGGTACGCCACTGCTCTGCCCATTAACATGACACTCTGAGCACCATGCCAAGTGGCTATTCCTTGACCCAATGCCTCGAGCAAGAAGTGAGTGTCTAGAACTGGCAGAAAGCCCCACCAGCGCACAGAAAGGTCATTTGGCCAAACCAAGCATGGGAGACTCAAGTAGCCAATGCTTCAGGTGCTGGCTTGCGGTCTCAAGTGCAAGACCCCAAGCCCTGTATCCTCGCCACACCTGCACGCTACCCCTGATCACAGCAGCTCAAGATCCTGCTGTAATCAAAAGATGGTGAGCACGCTGAGCAGAGAGAAGGCTGGGGCCTGTGAGAATGCCACTTTAAAGTACAGAAAACAAAAGAGAAAGACATCATGTCCAGAAACACCAGAGCTGGATGCCTGGCCAACCTCAACAGCGACCTCACCCCCTTCCTGGGGGAAGGGAGGAACACAAGGGGCTGAGGAGGCAGAGCCTCTGGACCTGACAGGGGACTCACAGCCAGCTGTAGGGCAGCCCCACCTTCCCTGGAGCGCACCATGCTTCCCTCCCAGCCTGACGCCAGCCCCCAGAAGCTTTGCTAGATGGGGAAGTCTGCATTCTCCAGTTGGGGCATGTGAAGCTGATCTTGCGGGGAGAGGAGAGGGGAGTTAGAAAAACAAGGCTCTTTAAATGCACAGGGGCGGTGCCTTTGCCTGGCTCCAGGCTCTAGCCCTAGTAACAGGCCGAAGGGACCAGGCCAGGTGAGCAGCAGCTCAGCAGTGGCAGCAGCTGGAGAGCCCTGCTTCCCCTCCTCCCATCACCTGGCACCTGCCACATCACTCCAGGCCTCCTGGGACCTCAGAGACAGCCACCACTGCACCAGCAGCCCGCAGATGTGCCACAGCCCTGCCTCAAACTCACTACGATGCTGGGCACGTGGCTTCACTCTTCCAGGCCTCCACTCTCCCTCAGCCCCTCAGCACAGTGGGGAAGAACAGAGGAAAAGCTTTCTTTGTCTATATTTAAGGCCCTTCAAAGCCCTTGACCAGCTCCTCCAGCTTCTCTCAGGCAGCCCCCAGGCACTGTGGCTGGATCACACCTGTCCACGTCACCCTCCACACCCCTGCATGAATCATTCAGGTTTACTCTGCTTGAAGCACCTTCCTCCTTCAGCTTTGCCGTCCACCTGAGGCCTGCCCCTTGTTCAAGGCCTACCTTCTCCAGAAGTCTTCCCCCACCCACCCAATCCAGGCCCTGTCCCTGTCTCTGAGCAAGCTTGACAATATTCATGAAAGCTCACAGTACCCAGAGCAGACTATGCCATTCTTCTGAGTCCTGTCTCCAGTCTTCAGCCACACCTTGCTTTCTGCCTTGCACACTGTAGGTGCAGAGTGAAAATGACTGACTCACTACATCTGGGCTTTTTACCTTGCAGGTAAAGAGACAGCCCTAGGATGCTGTTACCTTCAGCAATGGGAAGACAGGGACAGCTGCCTCTTGTCCACGTGCATCCTAGTGCTGGGCATGCCACAGGGCACACAGTAGGTGCTCATGTTTGTTGACTGAATGAGCAAACCACATCCTGTGGAAGCAGCCTCTGCATGTAGGATTTCACTGAGGGCTGAGATGTGATGAATGCTGGGGTAGGGTGCAGCATTCATCACATGCAGAAAAGAGAGAGGGTGGCAGGTGCAGAAAGAGAGAGGGTGGCAGGTGACACGTCTTCCTTAGGGGGCGTGTGTTTGGGGGAGTGGCCAGGATGGGTCTGCATAGTGAAAAGAAGAAGGCAGTGTAGGCTGCAGCGCTGACCAGCACCACCCTCACACCCTTGGTGCTGCCCACCAGGTAAGCAGGCTGACCCACCCACGTAGACCAGCCCCTCCCCAGGGACCTGGTGAGCCAAAGGTGGGAACACTCATGCAACTCTCTTGCGGGAAAATGAGTCAACATGCTTCTCTTTCCTTTCAGATTCCCTCTGACCTGCTGCCCCTGGCCTTTCTCCTGCCCCAGTGGGGCTTTTAGCACAACTGACCGCTGCTTTCCTGCTGTCTGTGGCCGGGGAACTCATGTGGTGAAGCATTCTGCAGTTTGGCTTTGCAAAGAAGTGAAATCTACAATGCAAGCATCCAGATCTCCAAACCCCAGTCAGATGGCAATGACTGAAGCTCATGCCCCACCTCCCAGCTGTGCAACCTTGGGGCAAGTCACTTCACCCCTCTGGGCTTCAACTTCCTCCTTGGAAAGACAGAATGCCAACATCCATCCTGCCTCTTGCCAAGATGTTTTATAGACTGCATGGTTTTATATCTTGTAAAACATAAAAATACTGTGATTCAGAAAGAGATCACCTTTTAAAAAGTCCAAAATTCCCCCCTCTTAGCTAGCACAAGCAGGCATCTCTCCAGGTGGCCGTGACCTCCTCAGTAACCCTCCTGGCAGGAGTGTGGGAGAACAGAACATGCAGGCTTCTGGCCACTGTCCTTAGAGCTTTCCAGGACGTGGGGATCCCAGGGCAGCCTGTGGCACTGCCAACGGGCCCTGTCACGAGAGGAGAGAGGGATCTGCTATCACACACCAGTCTCAAAACCCACCCACAGTTCACTCGCTTTACGGACAGTCCTTGGCAGACTTACTCTGAGTTTGGCCTTTGCTCATTTCCCATGGTGCTCCTGGGCCACTTCCCCACAATCTGATCCAATAAAAACTCAGGGGAGGCAAATGAACTTTAGCCTGAGCCTGAGAGATGCCCAGCTAAAAAGGGGAGTGTGGAGCTGGGGCTGAGACAGTTGGATGAAACAAAACCAATGATAATCATACACAGCATACTTCAGAGGGAAATGAACTCAGGGCTCCTATGAGCCAGAAGTTTCCCTCGGTTTCCTGGGATTCCACAGCTCAGCTCCCAGGACGGGGAGCCCTGCTGAGCCCTGGCTCCCCCAGACTTTGCAGGCCATCTGGGTAAACTGGGTCACCCCAGCTACGCCCCCACAGTGAGGCCAGGATTCTAGGTCAGCACTGGAAACCCAGAGGATGAGGTTATGGAATCTGAAAAGATGCTGAGAGGGACGAGGGCAGCCGTCCCCCACTCCCACCAGAACAATTACAGAAAACCCAACTGCTGAAGGGTGTAATATCACACGGCCACAGGATAAGCTGGGGAGAGAATGAGGAAGGGGCATTTTCCCAACCCAAATTCCCCAAGGTCTTGAAAAATTATACTCCCCAGAAAGTGTTTGCTTTACACTTTGCCGAAATCTGTTATGTAACAGTGGAGAAAATGTGTGGGGTGATCTTTTTCCCTGCACTTCAGCTGGGGAGGAGGGTGAGAGACCTGTCATTTCTACTGGGGACAAAGGCAGTGTCTGTGTGTTGGGGGCAGGCAGAGGGTCTCCAGGGCTGCCCACTCACAGGGTACCTGCGCAAAGGTACACCTGAGTCAGAGGAGGCAAGGCACCTCTGTCAGCTCCGCTGCAGGGCTCCAAGTAGGCACGCAGTGACAGCTATACCTAGAATAACACTCCTTGGCCTGGCACCCGTCTCTGCCCTTGCTCACTCCTGCCCTCCCAGAACCAGTGAGCCTTCTGCTGTTTCCTGCATTCACCAAGGCCCACCTGTCCCCAGCTTTAACAACACCTCAATGGCGTCTTTCCTGACCACACCCCCACCGCCTCCCTGCTGCTGACCTCTCCACAGCGCCTGCTTGTTTCCTGACTTGTGCTTGTCAACACCTACAATTACTTCCTTGGTTTACTTGTTACATGTCTCTTCGCAGTATTTGAGCCCCATGAGGGCTTTGTTGGCCTCTGTCACTTCTGGATCCCAGTCTAACACTTAGTCAGCTCATACAGATTTACTGATGGCCGACCAACCAGCCATTGGAAGACTGGCTTCAGAGGCCCCTCGGTGTTCAAACTTGGAAAAACAACATTTTGGAGATGCTCACGGGCTCAGTCAGTAGAAACCTGTTTGTCTCCCAAAGGGAAGGCGGCCAGGTGTTGCCCTGAGGCTACAACTGGGGTGAGCAGTGGTTGTCACTCTGGCACTTCTGTGGGACTTCCAGGGCTGCATGCCACACCAAGGCCACCACTGACCCATATATATTGCTGAGAAATAACTATTCAAGGAAAATGGGCTTGGAGGAGTTTGAGACACGAGAGGTCCAGAGAGCCAGTAGGTCCACAGAGTCAGGCCACAGCAACTGGACACTAGGCCTGTCCAACCTGGGCAGGGTGACAGTGTGGTGGAGGGAGCACCCCCAGGCTCACTGCCCCACCTGCCTGCCTGGCAGCTGGCTCCACGCAGGTGGCTGGCAGCACTCGGCGTTGACAAGCCCTTGGATGCCTCCCTGACAACAGGCCCTGCAGATCCAGCTGGAGGAAAGCACTATTTGCAGAGCCGCCCAGCCCCTGCCACACCTGTGCCTGCCACCCTCCTCCCCACACAGCCTGGAGGGCTTGCCTCAAGGCTCACTCTTCTCAGGGAGCTCTCCTGCTCACCAGCTTCCCAAGGCCCTATCCTCCCACCTCCTGCTGCCCAGCTCCCACTTTTCTTCTGCTTGGGGCACCCAGATGCCTGCTGTGCAGTCGCAGCCCCACCACGTCCCATACTCTTCACTCTGCCTGTCTAATCCCTTCATTCTCCCAGCCCTGCTCAATGCCTCTGACTCCTCCAGGAAGCCTTCTCGACTATGCTTGTCTTCACCCCCCACACTTCAGCTCTGCACCATGCAACAGGGCTACTGAGGGACCATCAGTGTGGGGTTGTCACGAAAGCCCCTGATCCCATGAGGCCACCAATGGGACCCTGACTTCTGTCGCCAACCCTTCTTCCTGCTGGACTCTGTTGATTAGGCTGGGACAAGGATAGCTGCCCAAGCAAGAACTCCAGGGGAGTGAGTCTGGCCCCAGAACGGGTTGTCCTGGTCTCACTACCTGACAGTAAACCCTCTGCCACTATAGCCACCTCACAGACCCTCAGGACTGACAGTCCTCAGATACCACCAAGTCAGTTCTATGACCAGACGGGGAAATCGAGGCCACAAGAGAGAAACTGGCCCCCTGCAGGCCCCAGGGTTGATCTGTGGCAGAGCGGCCCCAATCAGTGGTCTTACTATTGGCTGTCACTTATTGAGCACCCACTGTGTGCCAGGCCCTGCATGAAGCACTAAATTCTTTTTGTGTTTATTATTATTATTTTTTATTTTTTGTAGAGACAGGGCCTTGCTATGTTGCCCAGGCTGGGCTTGAACTCCTGGCCTCAAGTTACCCTCCCACCTCAACATCCCAAAGTTTTGGGATTACACGCATGAGCCACCATTCCTGGCCCTGAATTCCTTTTGAATTAGCATACACCAACCCCATAGCTGTGGGTACAATTATCCCCATTTTACAGGTAAGGAAACTGATGCTGAGAGGACCCAAGAAACTTTCCCAGGATCACCACAGGAAGTAACCAAATCAAGATGAAAAGCAGGCTTCTCTAACACGAAGTCCATATTCCTAACTGCTAGGCTATCCTGCAATCTCATTCTCAACATAATCTTGATCCTGGAGTGAATAAAGCTGAGCGGAAGGGCCCGAGGCTGGGCTAGCATGCCTGCCTCTGCTCCTGGCTTTATCCTCCTCGGCCCTTTCCCCTCCAGCCAGCTCTGTGAAGTGGGTAACAGCTGTACACTAGAGATCGTCTTGGGCCAAAAGGGACTCTGCTGATGAGACTGATATAGCAAGAACACACACACAGGCTGCACTCCAAGAGAAGGGCTGTCGGTGCACAAGGCTTTCTGATGGCTAGGACAGGACCTCGTGGGCCAGGCACCACCTCTGTGGCACCACATCTAAATGGAGACTGGTTCATTGGAGCCAGCATTCTACTGTTGTAGAAATAAGCATGTTAGTTCAGTAATAAACCTGCCCTTCTAGAAACAGCCTAGCCTATCTTTGTTGGGACACTTCTTTTCCAGGAGCAGGCGAATGTGGAAGTCTGAATTATAATAGTAATCAGGTGGTTACACAGTAAGCACAGAATCTAAGCAAGATGTAGAAGATACACATAAAATCCATTTAAGACAATGCAGGCTGGGCGCGGTGGCTCACATCTGTAATCCCAGCACTTTGGGGGGGCCGAAGCAGGTGGATCATTTGAGGCCAGGAGTTCAAGACCAGCTTGACCAACATGAAGAAACCCATCTCTACTGAAAACACAAAAATCAGGCAGGCATGGTGGTGCATGCCTGTAATCCCATTTACACGGGAGGCTGAGGAAGGAGAATCACTTTAACCTGAGAGGCAGAGGTTGCAGTGAGCTGTGATTTGCACCACTGCACTCCGGCCTGGGTGACAGAGCAAGATCCTATCTCAAAAAAAAAAAAAAAAAGCAAAGTCTGTAAGGCTATCCCAGGCTCACAATACAGTATACCAGAATAAGCACATCAATTAGACTCTAAGCTCCATAAAGGCAGGAACCTCATGGATGTATACACAATTAGCAAAAAGTATTCAAGTATTCAAGAACTGTGAAATAAATGCATGAATAAATGAACCACTCCTACATAGAGTGTATTTCATCCTTATAGAAAGCCCATGTGGTATGTATCACTACCCACTCTTAACCATCAGAAAACGGACTGATTTCTACTTATATCACACAGTATAGACTTAGATCTTAAACCCGGTATTGGAATTCTGGATTCTTCACCCTCCCCACCACATGCACAGGTACTGAACAAGTAAAATGGCTGCAGCCACCATGTTTTTGGGTAACTTTTCTTTAAAACGTGCCCACCAACAGCCTCTGCTGAAGAGGTTGGTTAGGTAACCATGTTTATACTCTGTGATGCATCTCTGGGACACAGCCTATTGGACCAGGGCTGGACACCTGATCTAACATTTGCCAATCCATTGCTGGTGAGGAAACAATCAGATTCAAACTTTGAATTCTGAACTCAGAGAACCAGAGGTCAAACTCAGTTGTTGGGAGAGATCTCAACTGAAAAGTCATGCAAGTCTGGTCCTGAGAAACCAGTGCCACTCAAACAAGCTGCTGTCACGGTCGGGCGAGAGGAGAAGGCAGGCTGATCTGCAGTTGGAAGAGCACAGCTGTGCTTTAAATCTGCATGGTAGCTGGGTGCGGTGGCTCACGCCTGTGATCCCAGCACTTTGGGAGGCCGAGGTTGGTGGATCACCTGAGGTCAGGAGTTTGAGACCAGCCTGGCCAACATAGTAAAACCCTGTCTTTACTAAAAATACAAAAATAGCCACCCGTGGTAGCAGGTGCCCATAATCCCAACTCCTTGGGAGGCTAAGGCAGGAGAATCGCTTGACCCAGGAGGTGGAGGTTGCAGTGAGCTGAGATCATGCCACTGCACTCCAGCCTGGGCAACAAGAGTGAAACTCCATCTAAAAAAAACATCCACATGGTAAGTAAGACAGACAGAGAAGCTGCTTTGGCTTGTGCTGACTTTTGGTTCCCAGTCCCAACCCCCTAAGGCTGATTTACTTCTCACCTCTGGGTTTGGTGAGATTTTCCTTTATTGCTTCAATAATCTCTTGAGAAAGTCTGAGTGAATTTCTGTCCTCCACTCACAACTCAACTGGGACTAAAGCATTGACCCTAGAGGGGAGTAAAAATTCTCAAATTCTTCCCAAGGTTTGGTTTTCTCCCTTGTAAAAAAAATTATGGACCAGGAGCTCAAAATTCTTTGCTTCCATGGAAGTATAAGAACTCCCAATGTATTATGCTGGCACAGGAAGTAAGCAAAGACTCAGAGAAGAAAGGTGAGGCAGCAAAAATTTTGTTGACTCATCTGCCCACTTCTTCCCCTCGCCTGCAGTCCTGAGAAGAAGGAAACAATCCTAGGAAGTTAGATGCAGCTTTGCTCAATGCAGAAATCAGAGTGACCAGCACCCTGATGTCATCGCGCTGCCAGAAATTATGCCTGCTGGAGAGGGAAGCCAATGCAGTATTTGAGGCATATGAATGTCCTCAAGAGGACATTCTTTAAAACCTGCCCACCAACTTACGCACTGCTCCTTATGTCAAGGGTAGAGGGGTTTCTAAAGACAAAGTAACAATGGCGGCTGCATGCCCTGGTATGGCTTGCTTGGTGGCAAAGCTACCAAAACTGTGAATCTTTCTGCTCTATGTATTCCTGTTGATCAATGGAGAAAAAGAGTCCTTTTCTGATCTGGGCTTAGGCCCACTGGTTGATCACAAATGCTTTCCTTAAAGCTACTGAAGTCCCACTTTGGGTTTCTTTGACTCCTGTTCTCTGGAATAGGTTTGTTCTCAGTCCTAAGTACACATCACCTTCCTCAGATCCTCTCAGCTGTTTCCTGTCCCCAAGTTCAATGGATCAATGAACAACATGAATTCCCACTAGCTGGAAGGATGGATGCAGAGACAACCTTCCCCACAGATGTTCCAGGGAGCTCTGCAGCTATCTCACCCAGCCTGCATCTCTCCTCAACCTACAGCATCGCCAACTTGGGCTTCCACCCTTCCCACCTGGGATGGGTCCATTCTCAGCCTCCCTGCGTGGCCTCTGTTGAGGGGAGAGATCTTACTCTTGGACTCTAAGGCAATTACTTAGCCTCTTAGCCTATTACTTCAGCCACAAATTGGTGAAACTGCCTTCTACTGCATGGTGTTGTTTCATGATATCCCAATAGAATGATGTATGTGAAGCATGTGGCCTGCCACTTGGTGTTTACTGACTCAGAATCACCTTCCATGCACATCTCTCTTTAGACCAGTGAGAGCACAGAGGGGCTCTGATGAGCAGGCAGAGTCAGAGGTGGCTGGGTCCCCCTGTGGACACTCTACTTGAGGCACTCCCAGCCAAGTGAGAGGGGACACCGGCAGAGTCCTGGCACCCTGTGGGCAAGGCAAGGCCCAGGGAGGTGAGGATGGTGCTGGCTGGGGGCCACTGCCCAACAATGCAAATGGAAATGCCTCAACACACCCACTGTGTCCCAAGGTCAAAGGCTTCACAATTGGGTCTTTGTTCCTGAGTTCAAAAGCCTCACTCACCACTCCTTCCAAAACCAGCTTGCAGGACGCATAAGACGCCTCCTCTCCCCCACCGTCAGGCCTCCAGCTTCCCTGAACGGGGAAACCACCCTCCCAGAGATCTGCAGCTTGGCTCTCTTCCTTTCTCCCCTCCACCCACTTCATTTCTCTGGTTAGGCTGGTTGTATACTCCAGGCCTCCTGGTAGATAGCAACAGATGGGTTTGAAGAGGCAGGCACAGCAGTCCAGGTCCTGTGCAAACATCTGCAGCTGAGCAGCTGTCTCCACCAAGGGTAAAGATACCAAACTCCCAGAAGTAGAAAAGACACGTTCAGGGAAGCTCTATCCGACACCTAGGGTCCCACCACGTTTCCCAGCCACGGAGTTCAGACCTGAGAGAGAGCTCAGGGAGGTCATTTGCTCCAGCGCCTGCTTCCAATCAGTCACAAGCTCACCTCCATTTTATGGAAGGAATAACTGAGGCCCAGAGAAATTAAGGGACGTGAAGCCCCCAAGCAGGTAGTGGCAGGTAGAATGCGGCTTCTAAGAACAGTAGCTCCCTCACACGGTCTGCGTGCCAGACTGGCCTGCTCTGGCCACAGGTGGCCGTGGGCAGCTGGGGTGCCTGGGCCACTCTAACAGCCATTGGCAGCTCCTCGGGAGAGCAGGCGTCTCCCCCTTTGTCAAAGTTCCTTCCCCCAATCCCAGGACTCCAGCGTCCCAGGGTCCTGTAGATGGGACAGGAGGGGAGAGGGCACACACGCCCTGGGAATCCTGGAGTCTTCCAGCAGGATGACTTCCTCTTGTGTGCTGTCTCATCTTCAGCCATCCTGGCCAGTGGCTGGCGGCCCCCAAAGACATGTGGGCTCACTACCTCCTGCTGCTTGAGGGTTAAATAGCTATGGTGTGACAGGCAGGCATGGTGGGAGAACCATGGTTCCTGCAGAACTTCCCTAGCCAGAAGTTCTGAGAAGAACCAACCACCTTTCCTGATGCAAGCTCTACAACAAACATCCCCCTCACCTGAGGTCTCCCATGTCACCATTAGAGATCCATTACTTTGGGTCTTCAGGTGCTGGGGGTTTCCAGAGTCAGACCCCCATGACATTGCCAGCTTCCTTTGGGGGAAGGGAGGTGGCGCCATGAGCATGACAAAGGCTGAGGACAAAGCTGCCCAGGGAGGAGCCCAGTGTGGGCACCTGGGACGAAGGGTTGAGGCCTCACAGCAGGGACATGGCTCTGCCAGGGAGGACTGTCGCTGCTGACCACCTTGGTGATGACTCCAGGCACAAGGGCAGACACAGCCTGACCTGAGCGGAGAGTAGGCACTTCGAAGACCTCAGAGCAGGAGGGCCACAAGTCAGGCCCTATATGCATATCACAGCCCTGCTCCCCGGAGCCACCGGTGGCAGGAGCCTGCACCCACCTCCCCCAGGAGGCCCACTGGGATTTCCTCAGCATCCCCACAGCTCCTGGCCACCTGGAGGCACAGGGTTCTGCTTCGGATCTCAGGAGACTCGCTTCCCCGCAACCTCCCTGTGTCTCGGTTTTGTCTCTACAGAGCAGGCACTGCCGTCCTAAGCATGCTTTGTCTTTCCTTTGGGGTTTAAACACTGGCAAGGCACAGAGTGGGACTAGGAGAGGAGAACAGGCTCCTGCCCTCTGGAAGTATCCACCAAACACCATTCAGAGAGGCTCTGAGCACAGGGGCCTTCCCTGCAGCAAACTGAAACTGAAACAAAACACCCCAGAAACCCATGCAAGCCCTGGGAGGCTGTGGGCTGATGGCTGTCCTGGGCTCGAGTCCCATGCCTGGCTCTGGTGGGGGCCGAACAGGCCTGGACTGACAGGCTTGGGCTCTCCTCTCTTCACCTGCCACGACTCCTGCTGCCAGGGACACCAAGGTACCTTTGCACC